ATGTTCTGTTTTTTCCAGCTAGTAGTTTATAGGACAATTTCCCCCCCACCGCCCCCTCCTGACTGGGACTGGATAGTTACATGTGCTCAATTTAAGATCCAGTGAGAGGAAGCTGTTTGTCTACAGTCTCTAATACCCTCTTTATCAGTAATAATATTCTGTTTCCTAATTATCTTATTGTCTCCTCCCACCCCTCACCCCAAATAGTTCAAAATATACACAGAGAAGAAGTTATCAGTTACTGAGACTCCTTAAACACACTAACATTCACTCGAAACAGGTTTGTTTTGTTTTGTTTTGTTTTTTTGTGGGACCCTCGCCGGTGGCCGGGGATCGAACTGGCGCTGCAGAGGCTGTGGGCAGCTTCGCAAGCCGGCGCTCAACCGCTGTGCCACCAGGGGAGGCCCCAATCGAAACAATTTTTGAAAAATAAGAATGAAATCACTTTCAGGAATAATTATACTAATTTTGACAGACATCAGTGTGAATATGAAAACCAATTTTAGAGTGAGATTTTGAGTAGACATAAGGGAGAGAATTTCCTCCATGTACTGGAAGAGACTTTTGGGAACCATTTGAAAATCTTCATAAAAACATGAAGCAGATCTATCTAGCTGATAGGATGGTACAACACTAAATCATCATGAAATTCTTACTGTAAAAGGAAGGTGCCTCAATAAAGGTTTACCCTGATCACTTACATTTATCAGAAGTAGCTTTGCTTAATCGCTGATCTTGTAAAATCAATGTAATGGAACTAAGAAAAAAAAATTTTCACAAAAAGTTTGTCTCTTTAGGGATGAGAAAACAGTGGCAGTGAAGTAAGGAACTTAAACCAAAGGCAAACTTAAAGACTGATGCCCAAATATCTTCCTTTCCTTCTTTCGTATCTTTTGTACTCTGCAAAAAATTCAGCCAGTAAAGGCTCGTTATCTCATTTAAGTAAATAAAAGGTGTGCATAAATAAGATACAGATAGAATCTCAATGAAGCGTTGTTTTGAAGGGAGTCTTTGCAGCACCAAAACTCATATCTCATGTGCAAAACCCTGACATGTGGGGAAAATGTGGATGTGACCATTTTACAATGGCCAAATAAAAGCCTAGTATCAAATCAAGTAATGGGCATCAAAGTGCTTCAAAAACTATAATGCTCTAAATAAAATGGAAGATACTGCCACTGATGGTGAGTTCCAGTAACCAGCAGAAATTTGATGCCAGGGAAGCATAATTATGTGATTTTGCCATTATATTCACCTACCATTTAATACTCTTTATTGCATTAACAGAAACTGCTAAGGGTCCTTACTAAAGTGCCCTTCCTGCCATGAACTTTCCCCATATACACAATATCTGCTTCTGTTTCATTATATCTCTAAGTTTGTGCATAATTTCTAAGCAATTAGAACAAGTTCAGGAAACAGCATCACACATAGGAGAAAATAAAAGGAATGTGCTTTCTCTGTATCTGGACCAATAGAGACTCTATATTCTGGACTAGAAACTCTACCAGTGTGAAGTGTGGTCCATAATCTGATGGTAATTTATGTCAGGATTTTAATAAATTATTCTACTCAGTTATTTGGATATTTCATTTCCTTCTGCAGTAGTTCAAGGAGGTGAGGAGGAGAGAGGTTAGAAAATGGAGGTGAGAACTTCCACATAGGGCTGACGGAGAAAGTTCAAAGCCAAGAAGGAAGACAAACTTATTTACCTTGGGTCTAGTCTGGCTACATTATTTTTAATGTTACCTTATTTTAAAGAACATCTAATTAAGAAAATGTGCCAGTTGCCAGTTCTCAGAGCAACAAGTTCTGAGCTCTAATTGAAAAACTGGGATTCTCACACCTGTTATTATAAACGAGAACAGCAATCCAACAACATCTGGCTTTCACTGACCACGTATTATGTGGCAGGCACTGTTCTCAATGTTTTATGTGGATTAACTCAATCCAAATGAGTACCCAGAGAGATAGGTACTATCAATACCCGTTTTACAGAAGAGGAACTGCAAAGAGAGTGGCTGCGTAACTTGCTCAGAGTCCCGGAACTAGTAAGTGATGAAGTTTGGATTTGAATCCTGAAACTTTCCCTTAGTAGGTCACTGCAGTGGTTTTCAAACTATTTTCTGCAGAACTTGTCAGCTCCAGGAGTCCTACTTTCAAAAATACTTTTCTGTCCATTCAAAAAAGTGCCACAAAAACACCACCATCAAAACTATATAATATACCAAACGGAAGCAACACATTCATTTTTTGCTGCCAGGTGAAGACACTTTTGTGCAAATCTCTGAGAAAAACTAGTCCTGTCACCTCTGAGATCTTTGAGTTTCTTGTAACTGTTTCCCCAATTTGGAAGGAGTAACTATGCATTGGTTTTTTTTTTTTTTTTTTTAACCTCAAGACATCTGTCTGCCCAGCTAACAGATACACCACGAGCATACAAGCTCAAACAGCAGGTGCATCTTATCACAGGAGCAAAATGTTGAACAAAGGGACATATTAAGTTCTGGTGGGAACACTGCCTGACATATTTAAAGAAATATGTGTTAATCTGATTTTGAAAAGTTTCCTACCACTCCTATTATCACCCAATTTTCCACAGAATATTTCATGGAAGGGCCCTGACATCGTAAGGGGAAGGGTTATGAAAAGCGTCTCCTCCTCCACCCACTTCAGCCACATGTCCCTGCAGATTCACTCTGGCCCCTCTGCCACTCTGCCATCCTTTCATCTTGCCAGTCACTTCTGGTCAGGCTTTCAATGCCACCACAGACCATATACTACCTGCCACTCACTGACTAAGCCATCAACTCCTCCCTAAATTCATTTACTCTTTATCCAGCTAAGATTCCATGAACCATCATTACAGTATTTTTGCCAAAACCTCAACCCCTTTGCTCTCCTGTCATTTTCCTGCATGTATTTGGCAAGCCCTGAACTTGACCATGGCCTTCTATTGCTGGCTTTCACCACACACTGGCACCACAGCCGCTGAGCCGCCTAGAGGAGGTGAACGCGCTGATGGACAGACAGGCCATACTCGTTCGTGACCATGGACTTCCTCTGTGCCGCTGGCTGGCCTGCTCTCTCTGCAACTTTTTACCTACTTTAGTTTTCTACTTCCTTCAAACCTTAGACTTCTGCCTCTCCCATCTCTGTGGCTACTCACAGCTAAAGATTTTGCCTACTAACTTGAAGGAGATATAATCATCCCATCCTTGGGCTTCCTTGGAGTATGACAGAGGAACTACCCATCCTTTTTCAGGGCTCTGAGTGCTATTCCATGCTCTCAAGAATGTTATGCCACTACACATCACTTTCTTCTGGATACGTAACAGACCCCTCTCTAACCTCCTGAGTCCATTTTATAGCCTGTGATGCCACCTGAAACAACTGTGCAAAAGGATCCTTTCAGTTAGAACAGTGAAACCTCTTTGCCCTTAAGTGTGGAAAGTCTCATAAAAGGAGTCGCTATACACATAATTTGGATAAAAACAAGAAGTCGTGAACTTGACGTCACATATATAAATGTGCAAAGAGGTAGTGGTACCGATGCCACCAACATTTTCAGAAAGAGCCCCTAATTCCAACCCATTCCAACATTCACAATTTAAAAAAAATTGTGATGTAACTGACAGATAACATTGTGTATGCTGAAAGTGTACAACATGTTGACTTGGTGCACTTATAAACTGCAGCGTGGTCGCCACTCGTGCAGTGTTAGTCAACACCCCTACCCCGTGACGTCATGATGACTACATATGCTTTACAATTAAAAGCTCTGCTAAAACTGCACGAGCAAGAAAAGAAGCTGAATTTTTTAGAGTGTTATTTTAATAACCAGTAAATCTGACAGCATGATTTTGTGTTACTAGGTCTAGAGGAGGGGAAGGAGGGAGGAGGGAGGAAGCAACAAATGTCCCAGCTACAGCTTTTTTTAAGAGCTAAAAATATTACAGGATAAATACAGAACCCTAAGTAATACTTAAGAAGTAACTTTGACAGTGTAGTGATACATTTTTATAATGAATTACCCACGGAGGGAGCCTGAAATTCCCCACCCCCAATATTCCTTCACCTGCAGGGAACAAGCGCTTTGAAAACAAGCTCAACCTTAATTCCAAGCAGCTCTCTTGACAGCTGTTACAATAATTAAAGATTTGGTCTCACAGGTCTGGAAAGTGTGAGAGTGTGTGTGGGGGGGGGGGGCAAAGTGTGTGCACCAATGAGAGTGTGGGTGAAGTTGAGTGAGTGCGTGAGTGTGCGTGTGTGCCAGCCCCAGTCCAGGGAAATCTTGCAAGGGCATTCACCTGGGATACCCTTCAGAAAGATGCCCACCTCTTTCCTGAGGGCACCACCTCCTCTGTCGCCTACACTCGGGGGTGTTACAGCAGGCACCGCGGCTGGGCTGTCTGCAACTCTAATGTGTTATTTAATTTTGTTGCTACTACTAAGATCGCTAAAACGTTCTGCGATGCGCTGGAATGAAAGATGCTCCATAAAACGAAGTTTATTATTAGTATTATTATAGCTCCCGGCTCGAAAATAAAGCAAAATTATAACCACACGGACTTCAAAAAGAAAATCGGAAGCCACCAGCGTCTCAAACACCGCCAGGCGCGCAGGGGATGGGCGGGGGTCGCGGGCGCCCCCCTCGCCCCCCGCCAGCCCACACCCGCGCCCCCTCAGCCCCGCCGCCCCATCACCGCCGGGCGGGGGCCCGGGTCGGACCCGACCCCCCTGGGCCTCGGCTCGCGCGTCGGCTCCCCCCGCCCCCCCCCCGCGGCTTCCCGTCTCCTCGCCGGCGCCCCGGTTTCCCACCGTCTCCCACCCGGACTTTCCCCTTTTTCCCAGCCCAGGACGAAGCCCGCCCTCCGCGCCCCTCCGGCCGGGGCTGCCCGCACCCGCGCCCCGCCGCCCGGTCTCCTCGCCACTTCGCCCCGCGCCCGGGGTCCCGCGCGCCCCCGCCCCGGCCCCCCGGCCGGCCCGCCCGCGCTCACCCGCGGACTCCCCGGTGTTGATCCAGTCGGGGTTGGCGATGCTGGCGATGGCGAAGATATCGGCGGCCAGAAAGAGACATCCTGAGATGATGGTCAGTTTATCCATCTCCCCGCCCCGCTCCCCCCACCCCCCGAGCCCCGGGAGGCCGCGGCCTCACGCCTCCCGCCCCATGGGCCGCCGCCGGGGCCCGGAGTCCCCGCGCCGCCGCCTCGCGCCCCTCGGCCCCCGCGCGCCGCCCGCGCCCTCCGCGCGCCCGGACCAGCAGCCGCGGCGCGGCCCGCACCGCCGGAACCGCCGCGCGCCCCGGAAGTGCTCGGCCGGCCCGCCCCTCACCCGGAAGCGGAGGCGCGCGCCCCGCCGCCGCCCCGGCCCCGCCCCCCACCGGCCCCGCCGCCCCGGCCCCCCGCCCCGCCCCGCGCGCCCGCCCGCCCCCCGCCCGGCGCCCCGCCCCTCCCCGCGCCCCCCCGCTCCAGCCCCGCCCCCGCGGCCCGCCCCGCGCCCGCCTGCGCCGCCCGGGACCCCCCGGCCACGCCGCCCTGGGCTGTGGTCGCTATTAAACGGCAATAACGGGGCTGACGTTGCCGAAGTTGTTCGTGGCTGTTTGGCACAAAACACCCTCCGGTCCTCAGCCTGTCGCCGGGGAGACTGGGTCGGGGTGGGGGCGGCTCCCAGCCCAGGCGGCGCGCAGCCCCGCGGGGGACGCCCCGGCCCGCACGGCCGCGCCCGGCGGGGGGACCCCGCGTCCGGGCCCGGGGACCGAACCCGCGGCAGCTCCGGGCGCCTGCGGGTGCCGCGGGCCCAGCTCGCGGGGCGCCGGGGGACGGTGTCGGCTGCCGGGGAACTGAGGGGCGGCCCGGGCGGCCTGGGGCGGCGACGGGGACGGGAGGGGCCGCGCGGTCTTGGGGGCCTGACCCCGGAGACCCGCGGGACCGCGAGGGCGCGGGGCGGGCGGGGCTGCCGCGGCCTGCTCGGCCCGAGAGCGCAGGAGGTGGCGGCAGCCCGGCCGGGTGGGCTCTGCCGGCCATGATAGTTTGGGTTTTGCTCCACCGGCGGCGGAGAGCGCTGGGGGGCTTGCAGCGGGACAGGGCGCGGTCTCGTCTAGCCTGGAAAGGCAGGGAGGCTGCGCCCGAGTGGAAGCAGGGGATCGCGGCTGAGGCAATCCTGAAGGGGAAGGGAGGGGAACTTAATTTAGCTCGGATGAGAGTAGGGCTGGGGGTGTGGAATGGACAGATGTGGGTGATTTGCAGGCAGGGGAGGGGCTGAAAGAAAGGACTCAGGAACGACGCTTAAAATTTTGCCCTAAGTAAGCAGGTGTTGGTGACACTACTTAGTGTGGCAGAGGCTTAGTTTGGATGAACAAACAGAAAAAGTAAATTATGAACTGGCACGATCTGTCCGCAGGGCAGCTGACCTAGCCCTCCACAGCTGTGCTGCCTAGTGAGGTTCCCTTCTCTCCCACAGGCCAGATCGCCATTCACCGCGACTCTGCATCCAGCTCTTTCTTTCTGGAATAGTCATTCCCAGTGCAGCAAACAGGAGAGGAGACCCTCATTTCTCTTTAAACGCCCAGCCTAGGTCATCTCTTGAAAGACCTAGAAAAGTGACACGTCTCTATTTTTGGAATGCCCACATGTCCACAGAACTCAGCAAGTCTCAAATTCCACCAAATCCAACCGCCTTGCAGAAATGTGCAGAGGGTTATCAGTGTCCCCACAAAGACTGGGTAAGGATGGACTTGATTGCCAACCTAGAGACTTTCCTGTCCAAGCACTGGTCTCTGGGGAAAGAGGAGGACTTTAAAAAAGTATATATTATAGCTTTTATTTTTTCCCCTGCCACAGGAATGGACACATGCTGATTTATACATTTCAGGGATAGATCTAATGTGTAGTGCATCACTGCAGGAGGTCTTCATGGGTTTTTTTCTTTCTTTCTTTTTTTAAATACCAGAGAAGTTTGATGGAGTCATATTCTTGGCTCCTTGTCCAGTGTTTCTATTGAAGAATCTCCAACTAAACAGTTTTAAATTCTCAAGTAATGCCCATGATGTTCACTACTGGGAAGCTGATGAGAATCCTACGGTGAAATGTGTGCCTGTTCTAACTCCAGCTGAGTGTAATGATCGCTACTTGATTCTTGGGTTTAAAAAATACAAGCATAAATTCCTCCTTCTACCAGGCAGTGCTTCCCAATCCCTCTGGCCTCTTCCTTCCACAAAAGGTTCTGGACCTAAAATTAAAACATAAAACAATTACTGTGCAGTTGAAAGAATAGAAAATAGTTTTTACCAGGTTAATGGCTATAAATCACTGCAAACAATAGACACACATCCCATCTCTTCTCAGTAACTGGACTGGGGGCAGACAATACCCTTGTTGACAGATTAAACACTCATCTGTTTTTAGCCTTTTGTCTTGTTCTTGTCTTTCATGACACATGGTGTTTTAAAATCCCAAGTCTCTCTGAGATCTATGGGACAGAATCAGTTCCCTTCTGTATATCTCAGTCTTAGGCTTCATAGAGGCAAACCAAGGGGGCTTGGGGAGATGTGGAGTGTCAGAAAGAAAAGAATACAGAATCTTGGGCCTCCCTGGTGACGCAGGGATTAAAGACAGAGCTGTCAAGCTATCACCAGCCACTGCAGCATGAGTTCAACGCTGGCCGGCCAGGGAGCCACCACCTGCTGCTCCCCTCAGAAGTGTACTTCAGTGGATCTGCCTGTTCTGTTCCCCACTCTTTCACCATCTCACCATCCCCTCCCCCCCACCTCTGGCCTACCCCAGTTCTTGTATGCATAAATAAATAAATCTTAAAAAAAAAAAAGAATACAGAACGTTTTCTAGTCCCACCTTGCTGGGGACTTGAACTCAGGAGCCATGCCACCTCCCTGGGCCTCTTTGCCCCATCTGACCTAGCAGCTCCCAGAGTCAGGCACCCTGCTTCGGTGATAGCAGCACCCCAGCCTCCCACAAGAGCAAAGCACCTGGAACTTTTCTATTCAGAGGGAGGATGAGTCATGAAGCTCCTTAAAGTAGAAAGTCCTTGGGGACCCAGAGGAACCCAGAGAAAGGCCCCCAGGAGGGAGCTATGCGCGCAGCCTGAAGTCATAAATAGTCACTCTGTGCTGTTAAAGGGCTGTGAGCCCAGGGTTGCTTCATGGTGATGGATGGAGGTCTCCTGCCCTGGCCCACAGGGGCTACCTCCAGATGGGTCCACAGGGGAAGCCGAGGGGACAGTTCCATAGTTCTTTTTTAAGGAGTATCTTTGGCCTGCCGGGATAAAGAGCACACCGCCCCTCTTCGGGTCAAGTTGACCATCCTGGCCTAGAGTGTAGTGCTTTGGTCCACACATGGGCACCTGGGGTTACTGGGATTAGGTAAAACAAAAGAGCTAAATCTATAGGTTAACAGTTTTAGCCTCGGGCTCAAATCGCCTTTAGCCTCATGGATTGGGTTTTCTTGGAGCTGACTCAGAGAGGAGAGGTTATCGATCAGCACAGGAAGTTTATTAGGGGGTGTGCTCAGGATCCACTGAGGGGGAGGAGCGGAAGAGGATCGGACAAAGGGACAGCGTGACTGTGGTGCAGAAACTGGAGCCTGACCCGCAGAGAGCTCTAAAGCTGGGAGCACTGGTCTGAATTGGGGTGGAGGAGTCAAACTTTTCTACCCCTGCATGGGGCCAGTCACTGGATGCTGGTGACCCCAGGAATGAGGCATCACCTTGGGGAAAGTAGCGCCTCCGCAGGACAGTTCCTAGAGAGGGCTGGCAGCTGAGATCTGTCAGGCTACAACCTTCCCAAGAACTAGGGAGTAGGCCCTCATGTCCGGAGGAGGACCCGGCAGCACAGAGCATCCTTTGCAACTGCACCCACCAGGCGATTCAGATCCACTTGCTTCTTTCAGTTCTGAGACAGCACCTTCAGGACCTTGGTGGGATCTTTTCCTGCAGGAAACGAGTAAGAGGAAGGTTCTCCGGACAAACTGCAGCTCCCCCTGTGGCAGCAGCTCATCCGGAGTCATCTCTGACATAATGGTCACCTGTTCCTCTCCTCCATGCCTCTCCACCTCTTGGATTACTTGCGGGGTGACCCAGACCTCCATCCCTGGGGCGTTTGAGCGCCTGGTTTGCTCGGAGCTTCATAAGGTGGGGCTGCTGCATTTGCCTACTTAATGTCAAAATAGGGCTAAGAGACACCCAGGTGGAGCATGGGGGAGCCAACCTTCCTCCTGGCCCCTCTGTACCGGCGCTGCCCACCTGCTTCCTGGTGAACACTTTGCTGCCTGCTTGCTGCTTGCTTGGCCTAAGAAATGTCTGATACATGACACTCTCCAGTACATTCCTCCCCTGGTCTCTCACAGGTGGTGAGAAATTGAACCATCTCAGTGCTTCCTGGGCTAGAGGCAACCGACCCTCACGCCTCCTGACCTGGCAAGGTCTGCACTATGGCTGCGGCAGTAGGTCACCCAGCCCAGAATTCCTTCCAGCATCTGCTCTGTCAGCACTGGCCGTTGTGGGCTGGGGTATCCAGGAAACGCTTGAGTTGCAGGGAGCTTACTAGAGAGTGCTGCCAGGACCCAGCATGCTGGGGGCAGAGGGAAGGAAGCAGGACCCTTCAGGGAGATGGTGGGTTGCCCTGTGGCCACAGCAGGAGCCCCAGGGACCAGGTAGGAGCTCAGAGGCTGGGGGGGAGGGAGCTGCCAGAGGAGCTGGGTTGAAGAAGTTGGGTTTTCACACAGAGTGGACCAGTCTCCTCCTGGGAAGGTGTGGTCTGGGATGAGGGCTCTCTTCAGCTAGCTGCAAGGATGGGGTGCAGCGGGGGCAGGTAAGTCCTTCAGCCCCACAGGGATATCTGGGCAGCACAGCAGGGTCTCCATGGCAGTTTGAATCCCGCAGTTCCACCAATCAGGGTGACCGGGGATCCCCACGAATGACAGTTTTCTGCCTGGAGAGGGGAGGTTGCTGGACTCTGCGTGCCAGGCACTAATATGTGGCCCACAGAGACTCACCGGCTCTATGCTGGCTAGGAAAATGGAGGAAAAGCATTTATGAGAGAATTAATTTGGCATCTGGGCAGATGTCTTGCTGGGATGTTTGGAGGAGGAGGCCTGAGGAGTCTGGTGCTGAAGACTCAGTGGTCCCCGGGGGCTCTTAGGCCATTGGAAGTAGCGGGATCAGGACTGTTCAATTCCCTTGCAGCAGCCTCTGCTACCCCAGATTCATCCAAGTCCAGCTCTGCTGGACTGTTTGGGCCAAGCCCCAGAAACAGCCCCCACCATGGCAGGGACCTGCCAGGTCTCCCACGGAAATCTGCGCCCGGGCCTGGCACCCGGCGGGGTGGCTGACCCTTGGCTGGGAACACGAATGCCTCCCTGCCTCCCACCCCCCGCTCTCAGTGTCATCGGAGCCGACACGACACCCGCGCCGACCTCGCTGCGTTGTTTTTTTCTTCTTCTAGAATTTGTTTTTGACAACCATTTTGTCCTCAAATTGTCCCTCTCATCTGTCTTCTCAGTGTCCGTTCCAAGTGGATGGAGCCCTTGCCTGTCTTGTCGTGTGTCCCCAGGATCAGCACAAGCCTAGATCAGCTCCCCCTGACGTCTGGGGTGAGCGAGTGTGTGGGGGAGGGAGGATTACTTCGGCAGAAAAAAAAAATAGGAAGAGTGAATGTCTCTCCTGATTGTGATTCATTTTTCCTTCAGGCCACCCTTGGCCTTTTCTCATTTCAAACATCCGCGAGCATAGCGAGGCTCCGAGGCCGTGGAAGCTGTGGCTGTGGCAATATTTAAAAAGACCACTATTCCCGCGCAGCAGGGGCCCCTGCTCTCCCAGCTCCCGAGCAGCCGGGGTGCAGCTCCGAGACGCCCTCCTCTGTGCCTCCTGCACCCCGGGCCGCGCTCCATGGTTTGCCACGAGTGGACGACGCGAGCCACGCCGTGTGGAGGCCCGCGCAGAAGTTGGCTCCGTCCCGGCCGGTCTCCGGGCGCGGCTCTTCCCTGCACCTGCCGAGGCCGGGCCGGGGCAGCGCGGGGCCGGCCGGGCTCCGGGGCGTCGCCGCGGCGCCCCCTGGCGGCCAGCGCGAGGGCGGGCCCGCGGCCCCCGGCGACCCGGGGCGGTTGACTGGGCGCTGGTCCCCGCGGGTTCCAGACGGTTGGGAGTGGGGCCTCTTCAGCCGCGACCGGCTCCGGGAGGCCCTCCGAGCGGCCTGCCTCTCCGGGCCCATGAAGAAGGCCTTAGGGGGCAAAGGCAAAAAAGGTGACGGGGCCTTGGGGAGAGGGTGAGGCGCTGGGGTCAAGCCTTCCTCACTGTCCTCTTCTGTAAAATGGGAGCATCACACTCTTCACCTGGTGACCACGTCGCCCACCAGCCGTGTTCTCAGCTGTAATTCCCGTGCAGTAAGAGCCCCCCAACCCCCCCATGCCCCCCCCCAGCCCTTTTTATTTAGTGTCCAGCTCTTTGAGTTTTGACAGACGTCTGCCCACTGTCCACCAGGCCGGCGATCAGACGTGGGACCAGCCCCATGCGCCCGTCACCTTGTGCCACCCCCTTCTCCCCCACCCGGATGCAGACATGCCAGCTCTGTTTCCTGTAGTTTTGCCCTCTCCACAGAAAATGTCATAAGCATGGGATCATGTAGCCCGGAGTCTTTTGAGTCTGGCTTCTGTCACCGCCCCCCCATACATGCATGTGAACACTCAGGTGGGACTGATGTCCTGTGTGCCGGGAAGCGAGGCTCCAGGAGGGGCGACCTGGAGTTGCACCCTCAGTTCTGAGAGGGCTCTGAAGCCCTCGGCCCTAGGGGGTGGTGGGGTTGGAGATAGGCAGGGACACTGGCCTGGAGGAAGCCAGCAGGAACCCAGGCCAGGTCCGCTGGGCTGGGGCTGGGGCTGGGCTGAAGAAATCCCTTCCTCAGCGACGGGAGCCTCCAGAACAGCACAGTGAGGTGCATTTGGCCGAGGCTTGGCAAGCAGCAGTTTGTCCTGAAGGAAAAGTGTTGCGTGTCTGTGAAATGCTGGAAAAGTGTGCTGCAAACAGACGTTCCCAGCAGCTTCCCATGCGCTGAAAATGAGAGTCCCCAGAGACATCCTCGTGAGAAAATAACTTGCTTTAAAACACCCTTCGCTTCTGTAGGAAACACCTCACCCTTCCCACTACCCACTGGCCCAGATTTCTCCCGCAGATGCTTTTTTCTACTGTCCCTTTCACCGTCTCAGCCATGACGTGGCCGGGTGATTGGGCACCACCTTCCTTTCCGCCTTCCACACCGCACCTTGCAATCCACACCCCGCGCTGCAACCAGAGCAGCTGGCGGGAGTGGGGAGCAATTCCGAGAGCGCCTGGTGCTTGAATTCCTTCTGAGCCTTTTCCAGGAGGGTCACTTGCCCAGCAGCCGGCCGCTCTCCGCCTTTGCTCCTCCTGTCTGCCCCGCCTGGTCTCCTTTGTCTCTTCTGGTTCAGAACCGTGATTCAGTGAGCTCTGTCCTGCTCCCTCTGCCTCAACAGTTACTGGTCCATTCCAGCTCACTTCAATCGTCGCCTGTCCTGGGAAGCCTGACCTGCCTTCCCCGCGGGAGACCGTGGCCTCCGGCGGCTCATCCTTAAGCTCTCCAAACTTTTCCTTGATTGCCTGTGTTACGTGTTGTAATTCAACACATATTGACGCGACTGACTGCGGTCTCCTCCACTAGGCTAGCAGCTCCACCGGGGTGAGAAATGCTTGTTTCCCAGCACACTGCCTCCATCGATAAGTGTTCATTCGAACAGATAATGACCCTGATGGGGCTCTCGCCACACGTGGGCAGCAGGCAGACTGCACAAGCCCCGCTGTGGCCCTCTTGAACTCCCACATCAGCCCTCCTGGGTGGACAGTGCATTCTGGATCCTCACTCTGCTGGTGGGGAAACTGAGGACTAGCGAGTCTGACTTGAGATCCCCAGGGACTGCTGTTTGGGCGAAGGACTGAAACAAATCCCTCTCTTTTGATTAGAACCCCAAACCAAGGTCAAGGTCGAGCCATCCAGTCACAATTTGAGCAAAACTGAGGAGACCAAACTGACTGTGGGCAGCCTGGGATTAGGCCTGATCGTCATCCAGCACGGACCCTACCTGCAGATCACCCACATCCTCAGGAAGGGGGCAGCAGCCAGAGATGGAAAGCTCAAGCCAGGTGACAGGGGTTTCCCCCGCTCCCCACCTGCCAACCCCACCCCCTCCTGCAGCCAGGGGTTCAGGCCAGTTTTCAGTGCGACCACAATGACAGAGCTGGTGTGGACCAGCCGACTGCTGTCACTTTACACAACCCTCGCTGGGGGGCACGTGATTCATGGAATTTTTACAGTAACCCTCTGGACAGGAACTACTACCCTTGTGTCCCTGTGACAGGTGAGGGCACTGAGGCTCCTGGTCCAGGTTTATACCCACCCAGTGAGTAGGATACAAACCCAGGCTTGGGGTCATTCCAGAGCATGTGGCCCTCTGTGGGCAAAGATTCCTTTTTTGTGGGTAGTGCTAACATTAACATTCAGCCCATGATCTCATTTCACCCTCCCGAGAACCTCCTGAGGTAGAGTCTGCATTAAACCACCAGAGACACCAGGAACCAGGTCTTTAGTAACTTACCCCCGGCTGCTCACACCAGAGTTCAGGAGCTTGATCAGCACTGGCCTGCTTTTCTTGACTTTGGCTACACCAACTTTTCATTCAGTTCCAGACATGTTTTCCCAGTGTCTGCTCCAGGCCTGTGCTGAGGAGCAGGGGAGACACACAGGGAAGGGGAAGGTGACAAGAAGGAAGAACCGTTCAGTGTGAGCTGCCTGAATTCGGGCCCACGCTCTGCCACTTTCCAGTTCTGTGACTTTAGTCACCTGGTCTTTACGTTGGGGTAAAAGCACCTTTGAAAGACCTTGCTAGGATTTGCTGACATCAATTTTATGAAAGTGCTTTGAAAACCTCAGTGTTGTGGCAATCGTTGCTTTTAGGTTGTTCTTAGAGATGTTCTAGACATTTTTGTTTTAATAAATGATTGTGGTGCAGGAGCCAGTGGACTAAACCACTGATTTGTGTCTCTGGTCACCATTGCAATCATCCCAGGAGCTTTTAAACTAAGACGTGACCCTAAGACGTGGCAGGTCATGGTTTGAAAGCTCCTCAGGTGATCCCTTTTGCAGTTTGGGTCTGAAGCTGTGGATTCAAGAAGAAAGTAGGTAGATGAAGCCATTATTATGGAACAGTTTACCAAAGCATTTTCTCCCCAGATCACTATGTGGTGCAGGGGAGCAAACTGCCAGAGTTCTGGACTTTCAGGACCAAAAGAACTCTAGGACGGTCCCAGGGGCTTCTCTGGGGTCGGGTGAGAGAGGCCAGTGATAGCTTGAGTGGGGTGGAGCTGGCTCCCTCGTGCTGGTGAGGCTGCAGGTAGGGGCTCCTTGAGTTCAGAGGAGACTTAGATCTAGGATTTCCCCACGGGGTGGCATGCTCCCTATGTCTGTGTGTAATAAATGAATCACAACTATTTGTCCCAGGCACTGTGTAAGATGTTTCCACACATTTTCTAATTCAATTTTTGCAAATGCCAGGAAGGGATTGAAATATAGAGGCTCAATGCGTAGAGCTTTGTCTGCTCAGAAAGCTTGTCCCTTTGACCTGAAATGAGATTTTCATCCAGAGGAGGTCCAGAACCCCAGGTCTCTTCATGACACGTCAGTCATTTCTCTTCAGTGCCTAGGTTTCAAAGACAGTGCAATTCAATCTCTTGGACAATGATGATGAAATTTTGGGAAGTGATAGTCCTAGAACCCTGCTATTTCTTTGACCCCACTACCTCCCAGCCCCTTTATTTCTCATCCTGGTGCTCTGAAAGTGTTTTCTTTGGTGTTTCATAATAGGGATTTATCTTCATTTTATGGCTGGCTTTGATGTTTGTTTATTCTGGCTAAACTATAAATTCCTTCTAGCTGGCATGGGACAATTAGTTATGATTCATTTAGTATTAATTTCTTAAGAGATCAATATAGCTTTGACGGTAACAAGTCATGTTCTGGCACCATCCTTACCAGTGGGTATTCCCTGAACGCTGGCTGCAGGGCTGTCATCCTGCCGGTGCTGGGCCATAATGCAAGTCAAACAGATGTGGTCTCTAATCACTTATGGATCTCAATAGCCTAGTTGTGAGAGATGGAAAACAATAAATAAAATCTATTTTTCAATAGTGGCTTGGCCGCTGCAAAGTTGCTTTCATATAGGTAATCGAGACAAGGTTTATACAATGTGGTTCCTACAGCCTATTAAAACTGAAAAAAAGTGTCATGAAGTTGGTGTTCATAAATCCCAAATTGGTGTTTCTTTCTGAAGGGCAGTGTTAATATCTATTGCCAGAGTAATCACATTCATACACTGACACGTTTGGTTTAAAGCCAAAATGGACAGGGAATTAGGCTCTTTATTTTCTGCCCTCTTGATAAAAGTCACCCTTTAACAACATTAATTAAGCAGAATGCCAAGCCACAGCTTTCAGCTATAAACACTCCTTTTAACATTAGGCAGGGAGGGCTTTCCCCACGTTGTAATTAACCTCTGTGGGGTGAACAGCTGTTGGGTACTGTGCACTCTGCAGGTTACTGGGGGCGGCGTGGGGGGTTCGTTTCATCCTGAAGCTAGCTTTCCATCCTTGGCTGATTTTACTCCCAACTTCCTTTTTAAGACCAAAGTAGATTTTCTCCACCCTTCTAAGGATTCATTTTCTTTGTTCCCGGGAACTGGTGCTTTGGACTGGATCTAGCGTTATGGAAATCTGTCCTTGGCACTCTTTGGGGACCTCCTTCGGGAGAGGGTATAATCCCCCACAAGAGCACAGTGGGGTGCAGTACCCCAGAACACATTTCCTTTCCACTCTTCTGAGGTTGGGCTTCAGCTATTTGGAATGAGGGTGATTGAGTGGTTTCCAGCTTCCCATGCTTAGAGGTGAATGCATCCTTGGGGACTTTATCCCGCGTTAGCTAGGAAGTCCCCATTACCAGCTGGCAGCATCTTAGTAATAGACCTGAAGACTAAGATTTTACTTCATGTGTCTCTCTTTACAAATGCCATTTCTTCGTATTCCTTCTTCTCTTGCGGAGCTCCCTTGTAGCAGTGCTCTTCATCGCAAGCGGTAAGAAGAGTTCTGTTAAGGAACTCAACTCAGGATTTTGGGTCTGACAGAATTAGCAGAAAGTCTGGAGAATCGCATTTGAAAAAATGGCAAGAAAACAAAGGGTACCTTAGCTACCTCTGGAACGTGGGTGCTCCTGCTCACCCCCTGCATCTTCTGCCCGCCCCAGGTTCGGTGACCCAGGTTGGAGCGCCCGATGACTGGTTCTAGTTTACATGTCCAGGTCTTAGCTGCCAGGGTAAGGAGGTGGGTGCAAGTGAATAATTGGTCTGACTTCCAGTTTCGAGGTGGGGGTTCTTACTGTCACCATGTGGTTTCTCTTCACACCTGCTGGGGACTCAGCTCCACAGTTGACCGTCACGCTTCCCTCCCTGCCCAACACTGCCCTAAAGTAGGGGTCTCACTGTCAAATTCCTTTGATTCAACATAATCTCTGGATACACCGCCTAATTAAAGCTTGCCAATTGTCCACTGCTGCACGCAGAATTATTTGCTCAATTAAAACCGTGCAAGGGCAGAGAACTAAAACAAAAGGCTTGGTGTTTAATGCGTTCTACTTGCTGGGGAGGGCAATGGGACTCGCTAGACAGGTATAGTAGAGTAGGTTGTTTGTTCACGTTAGTGTAAGTAGTTTCTCTTTAATAGTAATAACCATTCAGGGCCTCCCCTGGTGGTGCAGCGCTAGTTTGTTCCCTGGCCGCTGGCGAGGGTCCCACACACACACAAAAAATAGTAATAACCATTCATTTTCTTTGAAATAGACATTTTTAGAATCCCACAGGCTTGTTTAGGTTACAAATGGTTTTAGCTTGTCACACCAACGACTTAGAAGTGTTGTGAAGACATGCTAGAGTACCTACAGTTACACTGCTGGTGCCCTTCATTATTATGCAAAGGACATTTATGTCACTGCCATGGTCATCTTTACTAAATAAAGATTGAAACCTGGGTTTGGTCCAAAATTCACCAAAATGAATACAGGGCCTCCCCTGGTGGTGCAGCGGTTGAATGCTGGGCTGCGAGGCTGCCCGCAGCCTGTGAAACGCCTGTTTGATCCCTGGCCGGCGGCGGAGAGGGTCCCACATGGCGCCACAGACCTCTCCTGCTGTGCCTGCTGCTCCCCTCAGCAGTGTATTTCGTCAGTCTGCCTGTTCTGTTCCCCGCTCTGGCTCTGGTGGGTTCTCTAACCCTCCTGCACTTCTGACTGTACCCAGTGCTTATATAAATAAACAAATAAATCTTAAAAAAAAAAAAAAAAAAAAAAAAAACAAAAATGAATACATAAAATGAAACACCTCACAATAAAACTAGACATGGTGTGATGCCTTTAAACCATTATCTTAGTTTTATTGATACTTTTTCCTCTCCAGGTGATGTGCTGATTAGTGTAGGCCATGCCAACGTGTTAGGATATACGCTTCGACAATTTTTAAAGCTTTTGCATCATATCACCATAGGAACAGTGCTACAAGTCAAGGTTTACCGAGATTTTATTGACATACCAAACGAATGGGAAGATATATATGATTTAATTCCTGAGACCAAGTTCCCAGTAACACGGTAAGTATTTCATTTTAGGAAATCTTTGTGATGCTAGAGGATCCCCATGGCCTGTGAAGCACAGGGTCTTGGTTTAACATGAGCATTATCAAATGGACCATGGGAGAATATTTACTAGGTTTCTAAATCCTTTTGGCAAGGACAGTCTGCAAGACAGGATGATACAGGCAAGAGCCTTGAACCTGGAGGTCAAAAGAAGCATTCCATCAGAACTTGGCTTCTTCCAAACCTACTGCTGTTATTCCCTTTCCAAAGTCAACCCTTAAGCACTTGCCTTTAATCTCATTTCCTCAGGTGTCTCATGCATTTTCAAGTTTTCTCTGGTTCCTTCTCAGTAACAGTAAAGTCCCGACCATGATAGCAAACCCTGTGTTAATTCTCTTCTCCGTGCCTCCTTCAGCCACTGACGCGTTCTTTGATTCTGAGCGTGCTGAGAGAGAACTGCAGCAGATGCTGCCATCTCTCAGGCACTCCACAAACCACGTGGTCCCGGCCTTGCTTCCACCGCTTGGTGGGAGGACTCTCTCAGGGATACCGGCAGCCTCCATGCTGTGGAGGCTGTGGAGACACCCCCAACGGACTCGTGTCTTTACTTTGCTGGGCTTCTGAGCAGCTTTAGGTGCTTCGCACTTTGTTGAAACATCATTTTCCCCAGGCTGGTGACCCCATATTCCTGATTTCTTGGGCCCCTGGGCACTTCCTCTTGGTCTCCTTTTTACTCAACCTTGTAGTTCCTCAAGGTTTAATCTTTGCCTCTACTCAATCTCCTGAGCAGTATCATCGGGGTCTGACTTTTAGTACTGTCCATACATACATTACTTCCAACTGTGTTATTTCCAAATGTGTGCTTGATTTCTCCATGCCCTCTCCCCGTAATTACCGACTTGTCGTTTTACCTCCCATCTCACACACTGCCCACTTCTCTCCAGCCACTACCATAACCCCAAAGTCCTCTGGTTTCCCTGCACTTACCTGTCCCCCATTTACTTCCTACACAGAATGATCCTTTTACAAGGCAAATCTGATTGGCATACATTCCTGCTTAAAGTCTTGCAAGATCTTCTTTTGTGCTCAGGATAAATGCCTGTCCAACACCAAATCAAGGGTCAAAGAAAAGCACTTAGTAAAAATGATGAAATACTATTTTGTCACCAGCAGTGAAAAATTTTGGGAAAAGCTCTCCAAATTCTTGGGACCAAGTAACACAGGCAGACATCCACAGACAGTAGTAGTAACTCTAGTAAGTCTGATGGGTGGGTGAGGGGCAGGGGGAAGAAATCTGTGCCCCATTTCCTTGTAGAACAAAATGTGCAGATCCAAGACCTAGTTTTGCATCTGCTAGTCAACACATCAGGAAAGGGGCGGGGCTGGGTGGGGTGGGGTGGGTGATGGTGACAGATACCATTTGCCCAGGAAAGGAATAGTGCAGGTTCTGCAGGCATTAAGAAAGTTCAAGAAGCCTGTACTAACTAGTGGGGAAACATCATCAAAGTTTCAATAATCAAGAAAACCAATAGTTGGGGCAAATTACAAAAGAATCTTTAAAAGCTTTTAGATTGCAACAGATAAGTGGAACAGTGAACAAAGAGGTTAGGAGGGTGTTCTAGAATTCCACATGTGTAAACCTAAAAGAGAGGCAAAGAATGATGCTCAGAAGAAAGCAAAGATGTATCAATGATTATTAGCACATGGAAAATCTTTGAGGCCTACTATCTCCTGGCTCCCAAAGAAATGGGTAATTGCTGACCCAGAGGACAGAGTTGAACCTGTCGATCTGGATGAAGCAAAATTAATGACCCTGTAAGGTCTGTTAACATTGCAGTCAGTTCAGGGTTAGGTCTGTGTAAAGCTTTCTGAAGTACTGCAAAATATGTAAGGAAAGGGGCCTCCCTGGTGGCGCAGCACTATGAAACTGTCCGCAGCCTCTGCAGCGCGGGTTCAATTCCCGGCCGGCCAGGGAAATGCCCACATGGTGCAGCAGACCTCTCCTGTCTCACCTGCTGCTCCTCTCAGCAGTGTTATCGGTCCGTCTGCCTGTTCTTCTCTCTGCTTTGTCTCTGGTGAATTCTCTCACCCTCCTGCGCCTCTGGTCTATAACCCAGTTCATGTATAAATAAATCTTAAAAAAAAAATGAAATACGTAAGGAAGAATTATGATTTGCATTTAGGAATAGAAAAAAATTTGAAAGTAGCTCTAAAAAGAGAGCAATTAATTTCAACCACACAGAAAGGCAGTGTCACAACTAAACTGTATCCTTTTACAAGTCAAAGCAGATTGATTATCAGTCATCTTATTAGGGAACAATGAATGTTTAGACCTAAGACTCCATTTCATTCACTAGTCTTTTCATTTCAGCACGAGGTCCGAGCAGTCAAAAGGTTCTTTGGCAGGCAGTGATGACAATGAAGATGTAGTTTCAGATAAAAACCTTGAGTATTACAAACAGCAGAAGCCAAAAGGGCAGCAGTCTGCAAAGAGACCAATGTCCATCTCCAGAGAATGGCACGGGTATAAAAAGAAGAGCCACACCATGAGCGTGGGGAAAGACGCACACTGTGATGTGATGCTTCACAGAGACCAGAAGAAGGAAGTGCGACCCCCCTCTCCGTACTGGACAATGGCGAAGCGAGACTTTGAAAGCTCCTCCTCCTCCGGCTCCTCGGCCTCCGACGCGTTTTGGCTGGAAGACTATGTCAAAGTTGAAAAGGACAAGGGGCAACCTGCACCGAAAGTTGCTTAGGCGTTAGTTTGCAAATTGCAACCATACGACCATTTATTTCACAACATCCAGTTTTTTGTACATCGCCATGAACATTTTTTTGTGTACTGCTACATTTACAGGCACATGTGCAGACATCACTATGTTGTAAAACCTTTGGAGACCTTCTTCAGCATAATATCCACAGATGTCCCTGGGGCCTCACTGGCCTCACAAACAATCTCAAATAACGTCATTGGGACTCCTTACTGAGAAGAAAGTCTGTTTTCAAAAAATGCGGCAGAGGAGCCCACTATCAAAAGGTGTGAACACGGCAGAGAATTTCACTTTTTAAGGTAAGTACATTTTTATTTAGATACTTAAGCTTGCCCTTTTTGCAAACTTCAAGTACCCTACTTAGTACAAACAACAGAGAGAGAATTTATGGCTAGTTGTTCACATTAGAACTTGTTTCCTTTTCAGTCTACTTTTATTGAATATTGGGTTGCCAGTTAATTACCTGAAAGAGACAGGATAGAAAGACAAAGGAGGGCCTCCCTGGTGGCGTAAGGGGTTAAGACACAACCTATGAAGCTGTCCGCAGCCACTGCAGCGAGAGTTCGATCCCCTTACCAGCCAGGGAGCTACCCATATGGTGCAGTAGACCTCTCCTGACTCACCTGCTGCTCCCCTCAGCAGTGTACTGCCATCAATCTGGTCAATCTGCCTGTTCTGGTCCCTACTCTGTCTCTGGTGAATACTCTCACCCCCCCACCTCTGGCCTGTACCCCAGCTCTTGTATTCATAAATAAATATTAAAAAAAAAAAAAGAAAAAGACAAGGGAGAGGAAGGTGAGAGAAAAATAAAACTACCATCTGAAGATAAATCAGACAGAGAATGAAGCAACAGGAATGAATATAGGAGATGACTAGTAGAGAATTTATATTTTTCAGAAATAACTACTATAAAAAAACCAAAAAGGGGATAGAACCCAGAGCATTTAATTATTCTTATCCAAAATGACAGATTTTAAACAGGTTTTATCTTAAAAAATCACCAACAATATCTGGGACTATTTACTCAGTCACTTAGTCTTACATTTTTAAATTTCTGATGATTCTGTACTAAATCATGACATTCCTGTTCTTTATAAAACCATCTAAAGCAAAGACCACAGCAATGAAATATTTGTTGAGAACTGATTAGGAAAAATGCAAGAAAAACATTTAAGTAATGTTTTATTGACTTGAGGTCAACTGGGAATAATTACTTGCATTTAAGATATTTTACCTCATTGGAAACAAAAGGATAAATGTTGTATTTAGAGACTTTTGACTTCATGTGTTTGCTGCTCTGGTTGAGAAAATGCTCAGCTCTTGGGCTTCAGTATTACAGTTCATCAAGAAAAGGTGTATTTGCCAAATTTCCACTTGCTGCCATTGACTTCTGGCCAGAAACAAATTTCTTTGCAGCCTTCAAGGAAAAAAAACACAAAAGACATAAAGTTAACAGAAATAAGAAAATGTATTGGTAAATGGGTAAACTTATTCTGTTTCTTTCAAGAGCTGATGGTGATTTTGTGACAGCCTCTTGTGAAAATTAACTACAGGAGAGGGTTGGTGTTTTATTTTAATTTGTGACAATACAGGCAGAAAAGCTCAGCTGTTCCTTTCATTGTTCCAGTATATGTGTGACTGAGCAAGTGTGGTGCTCTAGATAGGAGGGTATTTGTTAAGTAAGGGATAAGGAAAATAGGGCAGAGTGGGCCTCGGGCAGGGCTGTACCTTCCCACTTCTGGGCAGGTACAGTTGAGGTCTACCAGGACAGACAGTTGAGGTCAAAAACAGATTGTTCATTTAAAAGCTGAACTTTATACCTTAGTGTCCTTTACACCACTACTTCAAGGTTAAAGGCTGGTTGTTTAGGTTTAACAAGAGTAGCAGCCCCTGTGTTCCCTCAGGGTGGCTGTTTCACATGAAGAGGGGTCGGAGAGGCAACTGGACTGGATTCACATAATGACAGTTTATAAGATAAGGACAGCGATTTGGCGAGTAAGTTATGATGAACCTAAGGGCCAACTAAAATCAAGTCAATGTTACTATCTTAAAAATAGCCTTGTCTCTTTTTCTATCCCCACACGAGGAGGAGCTGTTAGTGAGAAGAGGGTGGAGACCTCTCTAAATGGAAGAGGAGTTCTCATATTTCATTACAGAAAGGACTGGGAAAATCCACAGACTCTGGATTTATTCTGCAGTCATGTACTTCTTAAACGCATCATAGAATAGAAAGAGGTATAAGACATAGTTCTTACCCTCAAAACAACAATCTTGTAGGAAATAATAACATGAAAAAAGAGTAGGAAAAACAGGAGATTGCCATAAGAAAATCTTGAGATGCTGGGGTTGTGAAAGACTGGCAGGACAGATTATGGGGAGTGAGGAGGAAAAAGCATGAAACTTGATTATTAGGTTGAATCATATGAAACTGCCAAATTCTGAATGGTCCTGACCATCAAGAATTTAAACTGGTTCAACCTGAGAGTAATTCAGTTGAACGCAGAAGGTACATATACCCTCAGTTGACCAGGAAGTGGTTTTGCAGATCTGATGATGACAGAGAGCCCTCCTGCTGCACCTAACAGCATGGGAGTAACAGACACAGACCAAGGAAGCGAGCGGATGAGTTCCTTCTGAAACTGAATCATTAAGGCGAAGTTAAATCGTAAGTTTATGTTTGCTTACCTTTATGACATCTGCGTCAGCTACTGAGTCAATCTGCTGAAGGACTGTGGATGGTGGTGTATATGAACCAGCGACTAGAGCCTGGCACCCGACTTCATCCAGGAAACCTTCAGAAGACTCCACCGACATCAAATATCCAGCTTTCAGCTTGTTCCTGTCCAATAAAAGGTGTGTGACTAAGGCAAAAGCCAGCTTTAGAGAGCAGGCGATTTTAAAGTATGCTCTCAAACTCTTAAACATGTGAATATGTGAATTAACAGCTTTGAAATCTTAGTGTTAAAGCCCTCGTTCTACTGCTTCAGTTCACCAAATGTTTTATTATTTACATTGTCATTTAGAAAGTTGTCAATACAAGATTATGCTGAATTTCAACAGACTGGCTTTTGATTTTGGAAGGGAATTTAGATCTAGTTAAAACTATTTTAATGTGAAATTCTTATTAGTAAACTAACTCTTGCCTCCTGATACTTTTTTTTGGGTGCTAATTGTAGACATTTCTATTAAAGAAAAATAACTTTACAGGCCCATAAAGCACTGTCCACTCATCATAATGTTGTATGTATGCTGTCTTTGTATTTCTACTCCCCCACCCCATTTCTATGCTTGGATTTGTCTCACCGAGGGGAGGGTATGGAGAATGCAGGAGAGAAGAACAGTATAGTCTTATAGGTCCCTAATAGCAACACAAAAGCAAATTGAAATAAAAACAAAATCCAATTCATAATTCTCCCAGAAGGAAACTGGTTTCAATAAGGTACTTGAGTTATTTCACTCTCAAAATCTTTTCTTTTGGCCTCTGCTGTAAGACTTCCATTTAAACATAATTACAATTTAATGTAGCAATTTTGCCATACTGTCAACTTAATTTAAAAATGATTTTACCGGCAATAAACCAAGAAATTATTGGTTTGTCCCGTCAACAGTGACATCTTACATTTTCTTTTTCACTAAGGAAGACTAAACACTTTACAAGAAAAAGTACCAATTCCGTCAAAATGGCAGAAAACAAACACATCTTGACATTACTAATCTGAATTCATTTTCTACATGTTGTTGTACCTTGTAAAAACTGTGCTACACTTTAATACATTTTCTTAAATTAGGTTTCAAACAGATTTTTCTTCAGTAAATTCAGTGTTTCATTTATGCTCATATTTTGTTTCTGGTGCAATCATGCAGAACTGCATCCAATCAATTCTTGGTTCCATGTCTATAACATTTAATTTATTATGTTGTATTTATTCAAGAGATGCAATTTTTCAGTGTGTTCAGTATAACGAAAGCAGTAATACTAATGGGAACAGAAATGACTAGTAGGCTGGTCCGTCTGGGATTATAATCCGCCCTGTCACATTTCCCCTGTGGGCAATACTAAATAATCATGAAGACCGTCTAATGATTCAGTTTGAATTGCCCTAAATAGATGGAGTCAAATTTCAGTCTTTTAAACTGCTCTATGAAAATGCAACTTGATTCCTAACTCTGTTGTATCTTTGAGTGAAACCCCTGGAACTCCTGAGTTCAGAGGAGGTACTGGCACTTTCAATCAGGACAGGGGGAACTTAAAAATCAGCAACTTACTTTAATAAATTACTTCAATCTTTCAATCAGAAAAAAACACTTTTAACAAAAGAAATCTTTTTTTTTGGTTTGCTTTTTGAATCAGTAAAGAGGAAAAAAAGAAACTGCCAATATCTGTGGTAGAACAAAACCTCTCGTATACTGGCAGTGTGTTGATAAACTGGTATGAATTTTTCACAAAATAAAAATAGTATATAGAGCATGCACATTTTAATACAGAACATTTCAGTGTAATGTTATAATGACTCATCTGGGAATCTATGCTAAGCAAGCTGGGAATCTATGCTGCATTCGTCTCTGGGTACGCACATGGGGGTGGATTCATGGCTGTCACCACCCACGACCAAAATTCAAGGGTGCTCAAGTCCCTTCTATAAAATGGTGTAGTATTTGCAGGTAGCTTACACACATGTCCTACATACTTCAAATCATCTCTAGATTACTTATAATACAATGTGTATATATACTCTAATACACACTTGGTAATATAATGAATACAATGTAAGTAGCTGTTACACTGTATTGTTAGGGGATTAATGACAATAAAAAAAGTCGGTACATATCCAGCACAGATGCAAGTGTCACAGGCTGATCTACAAAGCACCTATTTTGACCTACAGTTGGCTGAATCTGCAGATACAGAACCCTGGGACATGGAGGGCTAATTATAATTACAAATACCAAATGTTTTATGCCCAAAGAGACTCCTTGTGATTTGTAAAGGATAAATTGCAGAAAATATCCAAATGTACTTTTTGATAGATCAATCAGTACTGTTTATGACAATTTTTCAGTAATCTCAATATATGGAGTCATTACGATAATGTTAAAAAAAGAGGAATTACTGGGTAGGGAATAAAAGATATTTTTGGCTTTAATGTTTGTAAATTTTCAAATTTCTACAATAAAATAGGACGTAAGTATAGATATAAAATATTAACAATTATGTTTCAAAATGCATACAAATGGTGAAGCAATTAAGTAAAAGTTAACAATTATATCTCTAAGTGGTAGGGTATGGGTGTGTTTCCCTTCCCTTTTCTGTACCTTTCAATCCTTTTGTGTTTATATTACAACACTGTTATAACTAAAAAGAATACAGTATTCAATTCAATGGAAATAGAAAAACTGCTAATATTGGAACTTACTTGGCAGCTTGGACATCTGCATTGGAAAGGTTTCCTTGAGCAATTGTTTTCACCTGATTATAGGCAGCCTTGATAACCTGGGATAGATAGATAAAAACTGGTCATTTTTGGGCGGGGGGGTGGGGTGGTGAGGTGGTGGGTGGGGGTGGCGGCAGGAAGTAGATTTATTGGTGGGTGTGACCAAGGATGGGGCAGTCTAAGGTGCACATAAGGGCATGTATGCCACTTGTCCAGAGGTCACAAGAGGGGTGTTTTTTAACCTCAAAGCATCTGGGATGAGCCACAACAGAGAGTTCTGGTAAGTTGTGGCATTCAAAGATTGTGTATTTTAATGAAAAACAAGTTAATGTGGAAAAAATTTGTGAGAATTGATGACTTTATAACTTACATCTCCAGCAGCTGTAGCCTGTGAGATAGTGTAAATCCCAAAAAGCCCAGAATCTGAGTAACTGGCATTAAAAGCAGAAACCTGAAATATAATAAAAGCCTACTGTAAGTCATTGTACCAGGTAAATCAGGGAATACTTTTCCTAAGGTTATCTAGATAAAAACTTGTTTCTTCATGGTGTAAGCAAAATAGATTAATATTTCATTTAACCAGTTCTGTCAAGGACTGAAGTGTTGTATAAACAGATTACCTCAAAACTATAACGGCTTTCATTTTATTCATTTGAACTTTTCCAAAATGGATTGCTCACTTTCCTTTTTGTTGGGTATTCTTTAACTTTTGTTTGACGGTTAAAGGTTAATGCAAGTATTAATTTGTGAACATTACTATAGCTGCCATTTGCCTCAGTGGTATAAGCTGTGGGTTTTGACATTAGGCAAACCTGTTTTCTTCCTTCTGCTGTTGGCAACTACTTTTTCACCAATGTGCTTTCACTTTTCCTATAGACTAAAGTCAAAGGGTTAGGGAAAAGTATTGGCTCAGTGGAGGTTGTTCAGCTGTCCAAAGTAACAAGTTTGGCCTCTGGATAACAGGGTGTGCAGTCTAATCTGAGCAGAGTTTAAGTCCTTAAAGTGAACATGACTACTCAGTATAGTGTTTCTGTGGACTTTTCATAAGGATCACCTGAGTTAACTGAAAATACAGACTTTTGGGATACTGGGACAGATCTACTCACTCAGATCCTGGGAGTTGCAATCTGGGAACCCACCTTTTAAACTAGTGTTGCAGGTGATTCTCATATATATATTAAAGTTTGAGAATCATTAGTTTGGCCCATATAAAGCCTAAGAAGAAATGCAGTTCAATTACTTGAAGTTTAATAATAATTGGTACTATCCTATTCACATTCCAAATTTCTGGCCCCTTTCCACTAAGATCTGGTATAAGACAAAGATGTCCACTTTCACCACTACTATTCAACATGGTACTAAAGTCCTTGCTGGAGAATTAGGCAAGAGAAGGATATCAAAGGTATCTAAATTGGGAAAAAGAAGAAAAGCTATATTATTTGCAGACAACATGGTAACATACACAGCGACCTTTAAAGACTCCATTAAAAAACTAGCAGACTTGGGCCTCCCCGGTGACGCAGCAGTTGAGCGCTGGGTTGAGAAGCTGCCCTCAGCCTCTGCAGCGCCAGTTCGATCCCCGGCTGCTCCCTGGCCACCGGGTGAGGGTCCCACATGGTGCGCAGACCTCTCCTGCCGCCCGCCCCTCCCCTCAGCAGTGTACTTCGTCAGTCTGCCCGTTCTGCTCTCCCCTCTGGCTCTGGTGAATTCTCTCACCCTCCCATGCTTCTGACTGTACCCAGTGCTTGTATAAATAAATAATCTTAAAAAAAACCCAAAAAACTAGCAGACTCAAAATCAAGTCTGGCTATCTCTTCAGTTTAACAAAGATTTTCTTTTGTGTTCATCTTAAATTTTAAGAGTATATTTTCGGGACTAAATCATGAACAATCAGCTTTGGAAAACAAAAAGAGAGAGATCAATTGCCTAGACTCACATCAAATGGCTGGTTGACTCCCTTGGCGACAGCCTGGTACAGAGAGCTGGTGGCATTGCTGCCTCTCTTGACGTGTGGTCCAGCACCCAGGACATAGTGGAGGACACTAAAGGCATTTGCTTCTGCACTTCCTATGGCAGCACTTTCTGCTACAACAGCAGCATGCACGAGACTATCTCCAGTCTGTTCTCGAATTTCAGCTGGGGCCACGTAAGGAGAGAGTGAAGAAGAAAGTGACTTGGTCATCAGTAGGTTTATTCTTTTGCATTCTCGTTAACACAGAATGAACCTGCTCAAATCAAGCTTTTCTGCGGCCTAGCACTCTCCCCAGGCCATCCTGCCCTTCCCACATACAAAACATGTTTAATATACAATACCCAAGCATCTAGTTCTTTCCATCTACATTGAGACTCTTTTGCTAGTAAATTATTAGGCCTATTCCATTCCAATATGCTACTTATGGTGGGGAGGGAGAAAGAAGGAAAGAAACTTCCTTCTGATAAACTACCTCATAGAACAAAATTCTTACCTCCACGGTATTTGGCCTTAGCACCAGATAAACCAAGGCCACCTCTCATGTTGAGAAACTGTTCAGCAACTTGCTTTAGAACAGGATGACTCACACCTATTTCAACAGAAGCAAAAGTAAGCTAGAACCAGAATTTCTATAACATAATTCTAAAACATCTACTGCTTTAAAAATATTACAGCTATAAACAGTAGAGTCCCTCATCACTCTTGCAGATATCAATTTATATACATTTACCTAAAACTTTTTCTATGCATGTATTATTACTATTCTCATTTTCTTTTTCTTATTTTAGAATGGTGTTATCTATTGATACTGTTTCTAACTTGTTTTTTGTAATTTACATTTCAGTGAGTGGTCTATATCAAGCATTTAGTGATTACAGAGAATTCCATTATATGGCTGTCCCAATTTTTATTTAACCAATTCTTTTTTGATGGACATTAGCATGTTTCTAAAAGTTGGCTATTCAATAATATTGCATTGTGCATCAAAGAACAATATCAAGAGTGAAGACAACCCAACAAATATTTGCAAGTCATATATCTAATGAAGATATAGTATCCAGAATATATAATGAATTTATAATAACAGTAAAAAAATGGGCAAAGGACTTGAACAGACATTTTTATACAAATGGCCAAAAAGTACACACACAAGATATTCAATGTCATTAGAAGTTAGGGAATTATAAACTAAGACCATACTGAAACAGCACTTTATACTGACTAGTGGTTACAAAAATAAATACTAACAAGTGTTGGGAAGGATGCAGAGAAATGAGAAACCTTGTGCAACACTGTTTGTGGTAATGTAAAATGGTATATACAACAGCTTGGGAAACCCCTGGTTCTTCAAGTGGTTAAAATAGTTAAATGGAGAGTTACCACCTCTCCTGGCAATTCTACTCCTAGGGATGTATGCAAAATCATTACATACAGGTGTTCTAACAAAAACTAAAACATGAATGTTTATATACATAACAGAAGGTAGAAATGACTCAAATGGATAAATAAAAAGACGGTATGGAATATTTTTCCATCAGAAAAAGGAATGGAATACTGGCATATGCTACAATATGGATGGACTTTGAAAATTTATGCTAAGTGAAAGAAATCAACTACAAAAAGCTATGTGATGGATAATCCCATTTATATAAAATGTACAGAATGGTAAACTCTATAGAGCCAGGAAGTAGACTAGTAGTTAAGGATGAGGTGGAATGGGGAGCGTAGGATGAGTAGGCTAATGAGTATGGGATTTCTTTTAGGAATGATGAAAATGTTCTGAAATTAAATAGTGGTGACAACTGCATAACTTTATAAAGATAATAAAGACCATGGACCTGTACACTTTGAAAGGATGAATTATACTCAATCAAGCTGTTATTTACAGAACAAATGAACAGAAAAACAGTAATGCAAATAATATGCTTGTGCAACTAGTTTGTAAACTTGACCAAGTTTTTCTGTAGGATGAATTCTGAAAGCGAAATGCTGGGTATTAGAGTATAAACATTTAGAATTTTATTAACTTCAAATAGATAATAACTACAAAAATGTTATACCAGTCTCATTGCTACCAACAATCTCTGAGAGTGCCTACTTCTCTACACCTTGCTTAACATTGGGCAGTGTCAATTTTTCAATTTTTGCCAACCTCAGATTAAAATTTTCTTTTTTTCCAAGATTTATCCATTTATACAAGAATTGGGTACAGGCCAGAAGCGCAGGAGGATTCACAAGAGACAGAGCAGGGAGCAGAACGGGCAGATGGATCAAAGACACTGCTGAGGGGAGCAGTGGGCGAGACAGGAGAGGTCTGCTTTGCCATGTGGGTTTGCAACCTGGCCAGCCGGGGACTGAACTTGTGCTGCAGAGGTGGCGGACTGTTTCACAGTACAGTGCTTAACCCCTTGGGACACCAGGGAGGCCCCCTCAGATTAAAAATTTTTTTAATCTTTAGCGAATATGACCATTTTTCATAAACATAATTGGCTACACACACACACACAGTCCTCACGAATTGTTTGCTTATATCCTTTGTCTATTTTCTATCAAATTGTACTTAAAAAACTTTTGCAAAAAGTTTCTGTGCTTACAGAAATTTTCTCCTTAGGTTTTGCAAATACTGTAACGGTTTACAAAGTTAAATGCTGGACTCTGCTTTCCACAAAAAAGACTAACAATTAAAATTCTATCATATCCTACCTGTTCTTAAATTTTATTCAATCCTGTGTTCAGAATTTAAAAGACTACTTTTAAGGAAGCAAACTGACATTCAGTGAATTCCCAACTTACCAAGTCCAATCAAAGCCATTCTTGCACTTGTAAAATGGTTCTGAACATAGAAATGTAACTGAGGAAATTAAAAATATGTATTAGGCTATGATGGTACAAACAGAAAAAGTTGTAAGAACATAAAAATGCAGTTCAGCATAAAATAAATACTTAGGCTTAAAAGTTGCTATAAGGGGCTACTCAGTGCTGAATTATACTGAGATTTTACTTTAAAAGCTATTGCTATTGCTTCAAAGAACTAGACTTTAATATGGTGACTGGTTACATAACTCTGTGAGTATAATGAAAATGAATGAATTGTACACTTAAAATAATTAATTGTATGGTATGTGAGTTACAGCTCAATAAAGATATTTTCTTTTCCTTCATTTTTTTTGGCCTTTGTTTTATGAACTGTCTATAATGATATATCCCTTCTAGTAAAAACTTTTAGTTGAAAGATATTAAAAGAATGTTCAGATATAAGTTTAGAAAGAAAGCAGGCTGATGAAAGCCAGCAAGTGATTTACTTAAATTAGAAGATAAAGAAAAAACTAGCAGAAAAACTTGAAAATAACTTTTCAATTTAATGTGAAAACAAGTTATTTTAAAATGCAATGTGTACCTCTTCTGGTGTCACTTTTCCAATCCTATAATCAGGACAATACAAGGAATTAGCCAAGGCATTTTTGTAAGCTGCAGTATGCAAATTTTCAATGACATCTATAAAACAAGAAGTAGTTATGGAAATGTAATTTAAATAAAGACAACAGCATTTTTAGGTCCTAGAAGCATCCGACTATAATTACTTTGGTTATCTCATGGCATTCACACATTAAATAAGAGGACTTGAGATTTATTATCATTTAGCCTCTAGCAATTTTTAAATTTTTAACAGTCGAATGTGCTGAGAAAACGAGATTATACCACAGCAGCTGCTAGATGCTCGAGTCAACCGAACACTTTTTAACAGTTGAATGTGCTGAGAACTGAACACTTCTCTAACTCGAATCTACCTGGTATCATCTGAAAAGTGTAGTGGCCTGGGTTTCAGGAAGTTTGAATCTAGTTATAGTTCTGCTACTACATGTCATGTGACCTTGGAGAAGTCATTCAATCTGAATTTTACTTAAGTCAAAGTCCACTACCTAGGTAATGAGGGAGTTATGAGATGTGAAAGTCTCAGTCTGAGGCCACATTACTTGCTTTCTGGGGTCAATGCACTCCTGACTGGTGCACTGTCCCTGCATTCCTGTTCCAATGCCTTTGCTTGAGTTATGTCCCTTGCATTTTTCAACGTTGGGGCAATATCCCAAGGCAGGCACTGTGCTAAGTGCTGGAAATAGAGACAAGTCAGATATAATGCTTGCTTTCAAAATGCTGAGAAGGAAAGACTGAAAGAAGGTACTTTGGGTGTGAAGTCAGCGGTATATCAAAAGTGCAGGAGGGGCATAAGGCAAAGGCATCGGAACTAGAAAGGAGTAACTGGTAATATCTGGTGTGAATCTTACAGAACGAGTAGGTGTTTCCCAGGCTAGTGATGTGGTAATGCCATTTCAGGCATGGGACACAGATAGCAAGATAAAGTATGTTACTACATTGACTCAAAGGGGAATGGCAGTTGGGAGGGAAAGAGGTACGACAAGGAACAAGGGGGTGGTGTGCATAGGGAGGTCATGGAAGTTCACATATATGCTAACTTAGGGAGTCTGGACTTCAGTCTATAGATAGGATGATGCTTTTAAGGGATTTTCCCAGGACTTTCCTGTCAGGAGGATTAATATAGTGGCAATGTAGGAGATGGGTTGAAGATGTTCACCTGGAGGCAGAGATGCCAGACAGCAATTATCCCAGCACAAAGGATGAGAGCTATAGCCTCAATGCTACCAGTGGGGAAGAAGCCACTCTGGACAAGTAGGTCATCTTTTATACAATTTTTCCTTTCTAGTTCTCTGTTTTTTTTTGTAGATGTCCAGAAGCAATAAAGATCATACACACTGTAAAAAGTATCACCATGAAAGGTACACTAACGGGAACCACTGTGTTCGGAGACCCTCTCCACACAGGCCTATATTCTGAGTGAAGTTTACCCAATATCAACCCCTGTAGCTGCTCATCTGCTTAGACCGGGATGTCTCTATCTGCATACTTTTGCTTCTACTATAAGCTAAATGATTTCCAAGAATCAGTAGAAATCACTTACAAATTTGTTTTGCCAGTTTGGAATTGTCAAGATTATGATTAAGCATTAAATACATAATATGAATAAAAAAAGCTCATTTTTAAAAAATTAAGTCACTTGCTTTGGAAAGATCTAATAAAAGTGAGCTAGCTGAACCAATAATAGCAATTTGTAACCATAAACAGCAGCAGCAACAGTCAGCTACAAATTTGGCGTAAGCTAAACAGCTACTGAAAAAAACACCAGGGAGGAGTAATAGGAAAAATGCCTGTGATTCTATAATCAGTTTACATCCTATCAAACTGGACAAAATTTTGGAAAAAGAGTTTTTGATCCCAAGTAAAAAGAAAATCAACAGTAGTTTTGTCCTCTACAGATCAATCTTCTCACAGACCCAGTATCTTAGAAACACTTGAATATAATCTGAATATGTACTTACGAGCCTGTGGATTCTGAAAAGCCACAGCTTTGTCAATTTTTAGTTGAGGCTGAAGGGCAGCAACTTCCCAAGGACGAAATTCTGGTGCTGTGGTGACATTGAGCAGGAACTCCATTAGAACATCACTATAGAAAACATCAAGATGAGAGGAATTCAACATTTTCTTCTTCTAATTTTTTAAATATTTATTTATGCATAGAAGAATTGGGGTATATGCCAGAGGTGCAGGGGGTGATTCACCAGAAACAGTGGGGAGCAGAAGAGACAGATCTACTGAAACATACTGCTGAGGGGAGCAGTGGGAGACAGGAGAGGTCTGCTGCACCATGTGGGTAGCTCCCTGGCTGGGGATCAAACTCAGGCTGCAGCGGTGATAGTGCTGAGACTCAACCCTTGGGCCACCAGGGGGGCCTGGAATTGAACATTTAAAACCAGCATCCATTTTTACATAACTGTAATTTTTTTAATATCAAACTTTCCTCCTTGTGTAAAGCACAGTGTTCTAAGCAGTTTGTGAATAATAATCCAAACCCCAAGTAAGAGATCATAATGTCACATTAAAAACTAGAAACAAGCAGCTTAGTATTTCTTTAAACTTGAAGCCACTTACACGTCATCACGCAGGCACTCCACCGTGTAAGCCAAGTTCTCCCTTGTTGCAGTCACACTGAGTCGGAAACAAATGACAGAGAATTCTTTAAGTAAGAAAAATAAGCTTTGCCTTATATCTTTATTATATCTTTGTTAGATCAACCCATTCCTTTGGAAGAAACTTTGTGAAAGTATAAATAACAAAAATATATGCTTGTCAACAAAAATTTAAAAAAGTATTTTGAATATGAAAATGTAAAGTAATTCAACCTTATAAAGAAGAAATCCTGACATATGTGACCTGTGGATGAACCTTGAAGATATTATGCCAAGTGAAATAAGTCAGTCATGAAAGGACAAATGTTGCCATATTCCATTGACATGAGCTACTCAAAACCAGACAGGCGGAGCACAGGATGGTGGTTGCCAGGGGCTGAAGCAAGAGAGCTACGGGGGGAAGCGTTTAAGAGGTAGAGAAGGGGATGATGAAACACTCTGGAGGTGAGTGGAGGTGATGGCTGCCATAGAACTGGGTGCTAAGAATGGTATGTTTCACATTGTGTTTTACCACAACTTGAAAAGTTGAAGATCTCTCTTTGTTCCCTTCCTAGGTTAATTCCCTTCCTCACTCTCCCTCTAGAGACAAATATAACCATTAAGTACTACATATTGCTTTAAAAAATTATAACTGCTTCAAACCTTAATAAAATATTGAAGCTTGTTTTACCATAAAACACTTAAAAATATTTGTCCTTTCTGTTAAGTTGAAAAATAACTCAAGTTCATTCCTTAGCTGTTGGGCAGCAGTGTCACTGAGAGTTTAGCATACTTTAATCCATTTTCCTTCTTTAAGGGCTTTTAGATTGCTTCCAGTCCTTACAAAAATAAAGAATATCTTTGACGTGTGTATGAAAAACTGTTAGTTTGTGGTATACACTCATTTTCACCATTACTAGACAGTTTTTGATTCTTTCCTAAGTAGTTATAATTTATACTATAAACACAGTAGGAAAGATTCTCCCTCTCCTTTAACACTGCCAACACGTAACGTATTTTTATTTCATGGGTATGAAATGGCATCACATTGTTATAACAAGTAACGATCAGTCTAGTTTCCTCTTCTAGGGGGACAGGCTATTCCTATCCTTTGTCCACTCATTATCTTTTCAGTTTATTCTAATTTGTAGTTATTTTTCCAAATAAACCTTTCCATGTTATGTGTTGCAAATACCTACTCCTAGCTAAATTTTTACTAAAAACCACAAACATGCTTTACATGTTGATACCAATTCATCAGTCTTTCCTCCTAATGCCTTAAGAAAATCCTAACCACCTTCACAGCAGAGAAAAGTTCTTGCCCAAGAGTATTTTTTGGTGTTTTCACTATTTCCTGTTACTTATTTTTAACAAACCTTAATTTACCACCGACTGCTTCAATTCCACGGGTTATCTTGAAAGATGAAGCTCCTTTTGTAGTCTTGAAAAAGAAAGAACAATTTTTTTAGTAGTTTTTTAATGCCAAATTTAACAAATACACTATATCAAAATTTAATGTTTAATTTTCATTAGATTCAAAAGGAACTTTACCTACTGGATCCTTTTTAGTTAAAAAATTATAAAACAAAGTTACAAAAATTATAAAACAAGTACAGTCTTTTATATAAAGTATATTTAGGTAAAAATTCCATCATTAAACGCAAGCTTACTGGATTCATTCTTCTACTCTGAAGCTTCCATATGGGAAAGAGTAATTTCCTTTCAATTTTTGCCATTTAAAATTTCTTGTTTTTAGTATTTTCTTATGTTCTCGGACTACCATTCAGATGGACACTAATCCTCTGTGGTAGTCTATGTTTTCCATGTTATGTTAGGTGGTACTGGGTTGAATAGCGTTCCCCAGATTCATGTCCATCCAAGAACCTCTGAATGTGGCTTTATTTGGAAACAGTCTTTGCAGATACAAACATTTAAAATGAGGTTATACTGGTTTACAGAGGGCTTCAGAGCTATTATGACTGGAAGAGTCTAGTAGGAGGGGAATTTGGACACAGAGACACAGAGAACACTTGACAACACAGGCCGAGACTGGAGTGATGCGGGATGCAGCTGAAAGCCAGGAAAAAATACCCAGGATTGCTGAAAACCACCAGACGCTAGGCAGAGGCAAGGAAAGATTCTTCTACGTCTTTGGAGAGAACATGGCTCTACTGACACCCTGCCTGCGACCACTAACTTCTAGGACTTAGAGGATAAATTTCTGTTTAAGCCACTTAATTTGTAGTAATTTGTCACAGCAGCTCCAGAAAGCTAATACAGGGATGTTGCTTTTAGTTTTTTGTTTTTGTAGGACCAAGATACTAAAGCATCTGTAAACATACTTAGGCAGTAGAGATACTTACCAAAGTGGATGCAAGACGAAGCAAGTGAGAGGTTCCTAAACTGTTGGGGTCCTCATATCTACTTCCTGCTTTTATGAACAAACCAATTTTTGATGCAGGAGCATAATTTTCCAGAGAAGCAATCACTAAACCATTTGGTAGTTTGGTAAACTGTATTTAAAAAAAAAAAGTAGAGACATGATTAATATCTTCTTATTACCAAGCACAGCGAAAGTACATGTGGCTTGAAACGAGCAACTCAGTGGGACTAACCTCAAGGTCCTGAGGATGTAGAGGCGCTGCCGCAGGGGCAGACGTGGCTTTCACTTTGGGCGCGACTTTGAGGGAATAAAATCTCTAAACACAAAAAGGCAGGTTACATAAATATTTCACAAGAACAGTGCATTATATCCTAGTGTGTCTAAGCAACAAAGGGTGTTCCTCTATTGAACTAAAAGAACTCCATGGGTGGCTGTAGCTGATTAACTTATTAAACCACCAGTTTACTCAATCTTGGACCTCTATTTATTTGTGATTTGTAGCCCTTGAAGAAATACTGAGTTCTACATGCTCTTTCTTTACATTGTAAAGATTATTGTATTTGTTTTACTCTTATTAAAGCTTCAAGTGTTTTTTTTTTTTTTTTTCTAAATATTTATTTATTTATTTATACATGCACTGGGTACAGTCAGAAGTGCGGGAGGGTGAGAGAATTCACCAGAGCTAGAGCGGGGAGCAGAGCAGGCAGAAGGAACGAAGTACACTGCTGAGGGGAGTAGCGGGTGGCAGGAGAGGTCTGCGCGCCATGTGGGACCCTCCTCTGGTGGTCGGGGAGCAGCCGGGGATCGAACCAGCACGGCAGAGGCCGCCGGCAGCTTCGCAACCCAGCGCTCAACCGCTGCGCCACCGGGGAGGCCCAGCTTCAAGTGTTTTTTTCTAGCGCTAATAATTCACATAATAATACTAATAATTTGATTATTTTAATTGGAATTAAAAAAATGTGTAGATTGCCATAGCCATACCCTTTTACAGATCTTAGCATTACTCCTTCCCTTATCCACCCAAAGAGTCTAAGTCTATTTTCCAATTGAAATGCTGTCATCTTTAGTAATCACTAAAAATGACAAAGTTTACCAAGGAAAACTTCCTTCTAGCTAGTAGTGTCACCCTCTTAGGTGCTATACTAAGACTATACAACCAAAGGTTTCATTTTTTTTAAATAAAAATTTGTATTATGTTGAGATAAACAACAGCTTCAGCCACAGCAGATTCTCCATATATAATATGCAGCCACTGAAAAGGTAAAATGATCCTTTCAGACAATAGATCTAAAATGCATAACAATTCAGTTTTTTGTTTTCTTTTTTGGCAAATGCTATACAATGCCACAGAATTCATTCTGATTATGCCTACAACTCATGAGGTTACTAGCAGAGATGTTAAGAGTTAATAACACTTGGTACTTCCAAGATCAAATGAACACATCTCCGCAGTTTCCTGAGGACCCACTCAGGGCTGCAGTGGCCCTATTCTGTGCTGTCCAGCAGGGCTGTTTGTGCATTCAGTTCTAGTATTGCAGTTGGTTCCTAGCTTTCATTTCTGTTAGTACTTTTAAATCACAAATTGCAATTAGCTCTGCTTTATCATCAGATATTTGTTTGCTGGGCATGGTAGAGTAACCCTAATTGTGATTGTGGGTTTTGATGTCCTAAAAAATAAAATTTAAGCTATAGGGGCACAGCAGTTCAAATGTTAATAATCCATAGTTACACTGGCAAAGGACATTTAGGTGCCTGCACAGTGACACTTTGCTGGTTATGTGTTTCCTATAATTTGTCCCATTCAAATCAGTTGCAGAGAATTATCCTAGTAATTGTTATGCAATTACTAGATCGTTTTTTTACCAATATGTATAAATATACTGTGTATACAGAGTGCTCTATAATTACAAACATAACAACTGCTTTCGCGTTTACTGCAATTTGTTTACATTGATTCTCTTCAACTGTTATCCTTGAGTTTTTTCCCTGCTAGTTAGGGATGAATGGAAAGGGGTAGATTTTGGAGTCTTTTGCCAGCTCAACTAGGCTGCCTTCAAAGGGTTGTTAATCATTGGTTTGTCTAGAGTGCCAGGAAAGGTAAGATCATCACAGCCAAATTGTGGCCATCTATATAACCCACAGTATATTTATTTGAACCTCACATACAGGGAAACTCCATTTCCTGCTCTTTTTGCCCCTCAGTAACCCAACTGCTACTGGAACTTGAGACCAGCTAATTCTTTGTTGTGGGGGGCTGTTTTTGTGCATTGTGGTTTATTTAGCGGCACCCCCGGCCCATCCACAGGTTGTTACAACCAAAAATGTCTCCAGATACTGCCAACTGGTCCCTGGGCGCAAAACTGGCCCTGCTGAGACTTTTAAAAGTGTTTCCCGCTCCACAGTGACAGAACATTAACACCTGAGGAGTTGCCCCTGAGTGACAGCTGCATCTCATCTGGGCTTGGAGGAGGCGCCTGAAGGGGACCTCTCAGAGGGCGGGCGCATCAGGCGTTAGACGGCGAGGACACCGAAATTCCAGGCACAGTTACAAGCGCTCCACAGGCATCAGCTCATCTTTCATATCGTTACTCATAAGCCCACTAAGTCTCTGGGGAAAGGGATGCTCCGTGCGGGGCGTCCTGCCCCCAGGTTTGTGGTCTCCTCAGCCTTGCAAGCGCAGCATTGACCTTCAGGCGTCTCTCCAGCGAGTCGCTTCGCCTCCGATCTCCAGCCCGCGCACTCCCTGCAGGTCCCGGGCGGGAGGGCGCCTCTGCCTGCAGCACGAGCCGGGCCCGCGATGCCCGGGCCCACCGGCCCGCAGCCCGCCCGGCCCGCGGGCTCAGCTGAAGGGCAGACCGCCTCCCCAGGCCCCGGGCCCTCCAGCCAGGCGGTGCGTCCCGTACCGCCTTGCTGGCAAGTTCCTCCCCAGCCCTTGCCCAAGCCCGCCGGCGGTGCTCACCGAGAGGGACCCGGCTTTCGTTAGCAGCTTCATGGCTCAAGATGGCTCTGACCCCCGGTCACGGCCGGCTTCAAGGAAAGCAAGATGGCGGCGGCCGGGGGGAGTTTCCCAGCGTGCCCCGCGACGCCCTTTCCCACGCCCACGGCGCGGGGGGACTCTCTAGGCGGCCTGCGCTCTACTGCTCCCGGGAGGAGGCTGGGCCGGCCCAGGTCCTCCCAGCCGCAGGCAGCGGGTCGCGTGGTTTCCTGTCAATACTCAGGGGATAATCAGGACGCCCCTTCGGATCCTCTTCCTGTCCCGGTGCCCACGCTGCAGTCCCTTTCCGACCGCGATTAAGAGAGCCCAGCACAGCTCCCCCGCACTTCACATTGGGACCCTGGCAACTAAAGGGGCCCTCTGTGGGATTTGTACTCTGGGGCGGGATGCGTAGACAGTGACGCTGTAGTTCTGCAAGAAAAACGAAAATGTCCTGGAGCGAGTTGGCGAGCGAGAGCCTGGTGAGCGGGAACCTGCATCTTGAGAGTCGGGACGGGTGCTCCAGGGGGTGTCACCCCAGAACTTCCCTTGCACCAGGCACCTGTGCTGCAGTTAGAGCGCGTCCCTGGCCTTCAGGGATTTAGTCTCGCACCTTGCTACGTAGCGTGGGTGGGAAAACATTAATGTCATTTGGGAGTTTGTTAGAAACGCAAACTCCAAATTCCCTACTGGATCAGAAATCTGCATTTTTACAAGATCAGGTGATTCCGAAGCACACTCACACCCCCGGAGGGGCTGGTGTGGGTGTGGCAGGGCGTAGACAAACATGTGCTCTTTGAATTTCTTCCCGTACAAGGGCTCTTAACATGATTAGACGTGACATCTGACTGTCATTAAGAATCTGGCACTGACCCGTTTAAGGGCAGTCCGGGGCACCCAAACTCGGCCTGTACCACACAGTAGAAAGTGGGGGACTTGCTCTAGTGGTGCAGGTCATTTAAGTTAGCACATGAATGAACACTGTTACATCTTAATACATATATATATATATATATATATATTAAAACAATTATTATGGCAAGTCATGCAGGTAAAGAGTTTCCTCTTTAAATACATTTATAAAAGGACATTGGTTAAACATCATTAAGTGGGTTAGCTATAAGGAATAAAGAGATAAGGCAAAACTCAGGAAGGTGTTATCCCAACGGACAAAGCTTGGGAAACATTGTTCTGATCAAGTCACCCATTTGTTCTTCACGATTTTCAGGAGAAACTTAAAACGCATTAACATGGCATGCAAACCTTTTGTCTCCAGGAATTTTTAATCACATCCCCCAAATTGGCTGCATCCCTGGGAGTCCAGTCTTTGGAACTGCACACAAATCCCTATTTAGAACGTTCCCTTATATTTATTTCCATTATAGCACCACTACATAACAAAACATATGTGACCCAAATAAAAAATTCTGTTCAAAATGTAGAATCTGATACATAATTCTTATCAGCTACATAAATAACATTCTAAGTTTATTCAGTGTTCTGCAACATTTAAAATTTCCTAGTAAGCTTTATAAAGTAAGTTTGCACTTAATGGCATCAATAGGTTCTTGGAAACTGCCTTTTGGTGACATCACCTAAAGTTTCGCTGAAACCCCTTTGAAGGAAGGTTTATTTTACGGGCCTGCGGTACCAGACTGCCATCTTGTGGACAGGTCTGTCATCTCAGCATCATCCCACGCCCTACTTAGCGCCATGACTGTGACTTATGATGTGTGTGTAGTTGTGAAGCAATGCCACTATTAACAAATATATGTGGTGTTGGCAGGTGTGTGCTTTTCACCTCATGTCTTTCAGCTCCCAAACTATCCTACATGGCTAGTTGTGTTTACATAACTACAGTAAAGGAGGAGGCTGGCCTAAGAGCTCCAACTCTGTGTTGTTGCTTTCTGTACTTTTGAAGAGTTAAGGCTTGAACTTGGAAGCCCCCATAATGTGAGAGAAGCAGTAAGAGAGCTAAGAATGGAGGACACAGAAGGAGAAAGTGGGTGACCAGGAAGGTAAAAAATAAGGCAAAGGGTGGGAAGAAGAGCTTCTCAAGATGAGACTCCAGATTGCTTCCATCTGTTGCTTATTAAAACAGTTCAAAAAAAAAAAATCTCTTTTCCTTTTTCACAATGCCCATTACCCAGTCTCGCATAACAACGAGGTGTAGGCAATGAAAGCCTTGGAAGTTTCTCCAGGTTGTCTTACTCATTTCAGTTTTCTGCCATAACTCTAGCATTTTATTGCAGAAGAAAATGAGGTGCTTGAAATTGCTTTGTGTAAAAGGCATGGTCCTGGGAGTGCAGCGTACAGAGCAGACATGAAGAGGCAGATGGGTGCACTGCCTGGAAGCTCTAATGGTTAGTTTTCTTAATGTGGATTCAAATTGGACTCCCTAGAGCCCAATGCCCTTCCCTGAGCTGGAGGTGATGGTGCACACATGTTGAGGAGGGTGGTGTAGTGTGGGGTAGTGTTAAAGGGCAGCTATGGTGGGGTCGAAAAAGACCAGGAAAATGGCTTGTCCTTGCACTTGGAACAGCACCTGGGCATGGTTGGGCCAGAGGCATTAAACATGGCTCCACCCAGGCAAACGCCACCTTAGTCTAGACTTCCTTCTCCCTTCTCTGAAATTTACTGCTTTGTTTTGATAATTTCTGTGTTCATATTTTATTCCCTGTAACCAGATTAGAATAATAAAATTCTGTCTTTGAGCCAAGATTCCAGTGTCTTCTGCCAGTATTCACGAGACTGTGGTAAATTAATTGGCTAATTTTTGAAAACTTGTAAGTAGGGTAAAATCTCTGACCCTGTTCAATTCTTGATCACATGTTAATCTTAATCTCCAAGATTAAATTGACTTCTTCAAGGATTCAATTTGTGTAGAGAGGTAAGAAGGGGTGGGGGCAATGTGTGCTCTAAGTATGTAGATGCACGCATCATTCTAAGAAAGCCATGACAGTCACTGGTTGGGACTGAATCTCATATATTTATTTTTGATCAATATCTATCTATATTTATCAATATTGGCAAAGGTCAGGAAGATTTGTTCCAGTGTTATCTGACTGACGGAATAGTCTTCTAGGTTGAATAGCACTTTCGCTTTCTCCAAAATACTAAATACCTTGAAGAAAAAAAAGTAAAACTGGTGGTGTAACCACTGCAATATCCCCAGATAAACCTTTCCCTACCCCAGTGTTCCCTAGCTCCTCCCAGTGACAAAAAGATACAGAAGCAGGAAGTTAGAAAGCAGAAGGAAAAGATGATTAGGGAAAAAAGGAAGAGGCGGTAGTTCTTCATTCCCTTTCTATTGATGGGTATGGACTAATAATAGAATTTAGGGTCAGAAATCTCAAGCAAACTATCGTTGCCTTTGAAAAGTAACTTAAGTTTCTTCTCCTCTGCCAATGTCAGGCCCATCCCACATGCCTGAATCCCAGTGCTTCCTTTCAGTCCCCTATTAACACAACATCAAGAGGGAATGATTTGTACAATTACCTTTCCCCAGCAAATCTCCTTGCTGGGAATATAGAAGCCAACACTTCCTCCATGGTCTTGGTTTAACATGTTACCTAAGAGAAAGATTTGACAGGTTAGTATCAGAGAGGGTCTAGTATTTGGTAAGAGTTTAGTAAAATTCCCAAATAGTTTTCATTCCAATTATGCTCACCAACAGAAGAGATAATATATGCAGTTAGCACAAAAGACGACATACTACCAAAGCCCATTCTCTTTAGTGTATGTGACTTTTTAAAATGTTTCAACAGACTTACTTCCATGTGAAATGTGGTCTTAGTGCCTTGTAGTTGGTAAAAATTGCCAAGGGTCAGGTGATCCACTTCAGGGATGGAAAAATTGATAGCTCACATGCTCACTTTGCCAAACCTGACTCTATAGAACTCTGTTTATAAACATTGTCCTGTAATTATGCTCAAGTGGTTTTTTTCTTCTTTCAGTTGTGTACATATTAGAATTGTGAACTACAGCAAACATACAAAAAGTGTATGGAACATAATTGTATGGATTAGTGAATCATACTAAAGTTAACAAACATGTAAGGGACACTTACCCACTGTAGAATCACCTGTGTGTCACTATCCAGATTCCCTCCCTCTTAAAAGATTTTTATGGTAAGAATTTCTTTGCTATTCTTTATGGTCTTACTACAAAAGTATGGGATCTAAATATTAAACTTTGGTTCTGCTTTTTTTGGTATGTCATATGAGTACAATCAGACTATATATAGTATTTTTATGCTGCTCTTGCTCATTACATTTTATATTCAACTATGTTGTTGTGTGTAGTTATATCTCACTTGTTTTCATTACTAGAGTTTTCAGTGTGTGACACTCCTACTGATGGTGTGGTGTCCAGTCTGTCAGATGGCCCCAAATGGTCCCTACCTCCTAGAAATCAAAATTGTCTTATCTCCTCCCATAGTGAATAGGGCTGACCTGTGCAACCAGTGGGTTATTGCTCTCTCTATGATCATGTGAACTAAGGGAAGTCAGCTATGACGTTGTGAGGACATTCAGGTAGTCCTTCAGAGAGGCATACCGGATGAGCAACTGTCAACACTGCATGAGGGAGTTATGTTGAAAATAGGTCCTCTAGCTCCAGTGAGCCCCAGATGATTGAAACCCGTCAACAGCTTTACTGCAAACTCATGACAGACCCTGAAGCAGACCCCACCACCCCCAGCTATAAATTTCTAAACCACGGAATTGTGACTTTAGGCCGCTAAGTCATTTGGTCACTTATTATGCAGAAGAGCTAGCCAGTGCAGATTTTGGTTTGGGGCTATTTATGTACAATTTTGTTTTGAACTTTCTCCACTTACCTTCTGGCGCTTACAGGAAATCACTTCCTAGGAGGAGAAGTGTTGGGGCAGAAGACTGAGCAACACTATCATTTGCATATCATGCCCAAATTTTTCAAATATTTTTATATTCTCAGTAGCCATCTGTACCAAGTCTTGGTGTGGTCAGTTAAAACATTCTAGCCATTTTTATGGTTATGTGGAGGCATTTCACCGGAAGTTTTAATTTGTATTTCCCAGATGATTAATGACATTGAACATCTTTTTATATGATTATGGCTTATTTTTTTAATCAAAGATAAAAAGTAGTGACTTAACCTTAATAAT